AGAACAATACACCCATAAGCCAGTGGAAGGTCTGATGTACCTATTCAAAAGACGGACACCATCAACAGATAAGCAAAATGATGTAGTTTGTTGGTTCCTATTTGAAACCTTAATGTGACTTGGGACCTCTCTTGTTTCCTTGGCTGATGTGATTCTTGACAATTCTCTGACCCTGGATTGCCTTCTGGCAGAACAAGGCAGAGTAGCTTCATGATCTTGGCAGAGGCAATATTGCCTCTCTTGTCTGGTCAACAGTTAAGGACGCCCAAAGTTAACGCTGGTTCTTTCCCTTACTAGGCCCTTTCATGGGTATTGTTCTTCTCTCCTTTTAACCCTTGTTTGTTTAACCTCTTGGTTAGTTTGCATCTTTTAGGCTCCAACAGTTTGAAATAAGGTTCATAATGATGGCTCAAGGAATTCAGTCCATTCCAGCAGTAAGTGGGCCAGGTTCCTACAGTTCCTCAGAACAGTCAGTGAGGGGCTTCTACACATCTAGGGTAGGCTAGGGTCTGTGGCCGCTGTCCAGCAGGAAGAAGTTTCAAAAGAAGAGACCTTCAGCACCTTGTTTGTTTAGTCACTCAGTCGTGTTTGGCTCTTTGCAACTTCGTGAACAGAAGCCCGCCAAGCTCCTCTGTCTATGGGATTCTCTAGGCAAGAATACTGGAGTAGGTGGCCATTTCCTTCTCCAGGGGATCTTCCTGACTCAGGGATTGAACACACGTGCCCTGTGTGGCACTTGGATTTTTTTTTTTTTACCACTGATTACACCTTAAGAATGAGTGTGGAGTCTCTCAGGGGAAATGAGGCAGGCCTGGGACCATTTGCTGGAGTGCTGCAATTTTTGCACCTGGACACACCTCTCCTCCAGTAACAAAATACAAAGAAACTATATGGAACTAAAAATAACTGTGTGCATGCACAGTTCAGTTCAGTTCAGTCACTCAGTCCTGTCCGACTCTTTGCGACCCCATGAATCGCAGCACACCAGGCCTCCCTGTCCATCACCTACTCCCACAGTTGACCCAAACCCATGCCCATCGAGTCGGTGTTGCCATCCAGCCATCTCATCCTCTGTCATCCCCTTCTCCTCCTGCCCCCAATCCCTCCCAGCATCAGGGTCTTTTCCAATGAATCAACTCTTCGCATGAGGTGGCCAAAGTATTGGAGTTTCAGCTTCAGCATCAGTCCTTCCAATGAACACTCAGGACTGATCTCCTTTAGGATAGACTGGTTGGATCTCCTTGCAGTCCAAGGGACTCTCAAGAGTCTTCCCCAACACCACAGTTGGAGCAAATATGGACCCAAAAGATACAAAGAGACCAAAAATTCCAAATGCCACTTTTGAAGAACCTAGTGCAAAAACAGGGTGTCGAGAGCACAAGCAGGGTGTAGAGAGCAAAAACAGAGTGTCAAGAGCAAAAGCAGGGTGTTGAGAGCAAAGGCAAGGTACTGCGCATGCCCCCCTGCACATAATGCCACCTAATGGGTGGGCAAAACACCTAAGCCACCCCTCCAGCCTGACTCCTCAACACAATCCTACACTCATCCCTTGTAAGGAACAAGCTTGCCCCCAACTCAGAGAGTGAGGAAGCAAGGGAAACTATTGTTTGTTCTCTTTTCTGCCTGGGGCAGCAAGGGCCCCAGTAAAGCCTTGTCTCAATTTCTTGTCTGGCCTCTGGTCAATTTCCATTGTTTGTAAAATGCCAAGAACAATGTGACCAATAGAATCCAATGAAAATGATGTGTCATTTCTGAAGTTGCATTTTAAGAGGCCTTGCAGCTTCTGCCTTGGTCTCATGGAAATCTTATCCTTGGAGCCTTCAGCATCATATATTAAAATCTGAATACCTTAAAGCTACCTTATTGGAGAGGTCATACACAGAGAGGCTCTGAAATTTTATGTAGAATGATTCAGCCATTTGAGTTATCTTGGCTGAAGCACTGGATGCAGCATGAAACTGGAATTGAGCTGTCCCCCCGGGCCCTGCTTAAATTACAGATTCAGGAGGAAAAGAAATAATTGTTGTTTTAAGCCATTAAGTTTGTTACACAGCAATGGATCATAGAAACACTCCTCTCCTTTCTCCTTCACTTGTAAAGTGTTTCCTTAGGTGAGTACAGAGTGAGCAAGCATGGGTCAGGTCAACTCGAGAAAAGGGACTTTTCCAGCCACCGTTGCTGGAGTAACTGGTTTATCCATGCTGTCTTCTGAGAGGTAAATGACTCTATCATTTCTGTGGTCAAGACACTCAGGGGACCCAGACCATATCTGCAGCTTGTGTCCAGGTGCAAACCCACAACTCAACTTATTTAATACAGATGAACATCCATCTATTTCACTGAACATGAATGATAAGTTTCTATAGAAAAGATATCACAAGAGTATAAGTAGCAGGAGGATTACAGGCAGAAGGAATGACCAATCTCTTTCTGGACTCTACAGAGTTAGGACTGCCAGCACATGTGCCCTTTTAGGACCTGCTCCCCACTCGTGTTTGTAAAATAGAACTCATCCTATGACTGAAGCAATTAGACCAGGGGTGTGCACATGACCGATGAGTAACCATTTCATCATTGTGCATGGGTGTGGGCATGCTAAATGGCTTTAGTCTGACTCTTTGTGACCCCATGAACTGTAGCCTGCCAGGCTCCTCTGTCCATGGGATTCTCCAGGCAAGAATACTGGAGTGGGTTGCCATGCCCTCCTCCAGGGGATCTTCTCAACCCAGGGATCCAACCTGAGTCTCCTGTGGCTCCTGCATTGCAGGTGGATTCTTTACCACTGAGCCACTGGGGAAGTCCAATCTATTATTGACTGGCCAACACTTTATCTGGTTATCTTCCTTGAGAATCTGAGCTAAGATATAAAGAGACTCTAGCATGCACTGGGAGAGAAAGGAATGAGGAATCGGAGTGGGATGACTATTCTCAGCCATATGTATGCCAATGAGTAAGTAAAGAGTGCTGGTTTGCAGGGGGAAAAAAGTGGTAATGAAAATTCATTGGCAGGGGCAGGAAGAAGGGAGAAAAGAAAGAAAAAGAAAGAGCAAACTGGCTTTGAATTGGCTTTGAATATGCCCTAGTTTAAATAATTTAATTATTAAACAGTAATAATTGTTAAACTATTCCATTTTTGGTCAGGGGTGATGGTGGGATGGGATTTAACAGAAAGGGGATTTTATCTTCACTTTTTTTAAAGGGTCCCTGAAAACATCACTATTGGATATAGATTTTGTTTTAGGTATAAGTTTCTCATTAATGAATACTTCAAAACCATGAGCTTTAGAGATCTTTTCTCTAAAATTAGTTTTGTTTGTTCATTAAGAGGAACAGCATCACTGTGGGGCAGAGTTCCCAAGGCATCAGAAGGCCTAAGCAGATACTTCTTTACTTCTTTCAGATGAATCAGAGAACAAATTTAGGAGGAGGGAGCCCTGAACAGTGCAGGCTCTGGATCTTTCTAGACCCTGTCTAACCACTCTCACTGTGACTATAGATTAGTTTCTTCACCTATGTGGACCTCTGTTTCCTCCACTGTGCTACATGGAAGTCACAATTTTAACCTTTTATGAATATAAAACATCTAAGGGTCTTACTCAAAACATTGTCACATAGACTTTTCATCGCACTCTGAAGAAGGAAAAGTGTGTACTGGTTAAAGACTCTATTGCCTAAGATCTGGAACTTAAATTAACAGTAAGTTCTAATACTTGAGCACATGTACTTTTCTTCCTGATTGTGCAATAAATGGCAGGAAGTGAAAAAGGGAACATTCTTAATGCTCAAGTTGTCAGAGGCTCATTGAGGATACACATTAGATGTGAATAAGTGTGGGAAAGTAGAAAGTTAACCAAATTTAAGCCTACATTAAGCTGCATTTGATGTCCTACCAAATGCCAAAATACTGTGCTCAGAGAATTAAACCAACAGCTTACCTTTTCTATTACACAAGCAATACATGCGTATTGTAGTAAAAGTCAACCCAAGCATAGCATATGTTAATATTTAATATATATTTTTAAAAATATCTTCAGACAAACCCTACAGCATTTATTGAGAATATATCTGATAGTTTATATGCCAATGCTTACATCCTCCATGAGGCTATAAACCCCATGAGGAGAACCCTTTTACCATTACTCTCCCCCAACCCCTCCACTTTAGCCACTTTGGGAAAGAATAGGGGAAGGTTGTAAATGTTTCCTCCACTAGTGTGTAAGCATTCATTTGACAAACGTCTTATTGAGCAATTAGTGTGGAGTTGAGAAAGGCTTGGGGGATTTTAAAAAAGACAGGGCTTTTGGTCTCAAGAAATTCACAGTTCCAATAAGGAGACAGTACAAAAATACTTATTTTTCTAAGTTCTTGTTCAATTTTAGTCATTCGTGGAAGCTCTAAGAAAGCACATTAGAGAGGGCAAGGAGGGTCAGAAAAGTCGTTGGGGGAATTTCTTGGGCGGGGGGGACACTAGCCAGACGACGTGGGGTCCAGGATTGAGGCCAGTGAATTTCAGGACCCTTCCTGCACCAGCAGGAATTCCTGTTCCCTCACCAATAGCATCACAAAACTGAAGTCTAACGTTCAACTAGGGGGCCCTTCCGCGTCTAGAACTTGGAAACTGAGAACCTAGGGCAAAAAGACCTGGCTGTCGCAGATGTACTACCAGCAGCGGGACAGTCCAGTTGACTGGACTGGTTGAGGGGCGGGACAGGTTGGGAGCTGGGTCGGCTGTAAGGGCACCGAAGCCGGCCGGACCAGCCCCTGGAGTCTGGCGCAGGAGCCCGGCGAAGATTGGTTGTGTGCATGCGTCGGCCTCTCTTCATAGGCCGCGCAGGGCTGCTCGCGGGACTCTGATTGGTTCCCCGAGCGCTGAGCTGTCATTGGCTGCGGTGGGTCGTCAGGACAAGTGAGAGGAAAAAGAAAAGGGGTGTTGGGCCTGGCGGGCGAACCTGGGCTGCGGGCTACTGGGCGGTTCCGCGGGGCAGTGTTCGGACCACTGCGGAGCCCGGGCGCCCGAGGTTCACATCGCAACTCCAGGAGGTGCCTGAGCCAGCGGGCCGGCGAGGAGTAGCGGCCAGTGAGACCCCGCGGGCCAAGACCATGGGCTGCTTCTTCTCCAAGAGGCGGAAGGCTGAGAAGGAGTCGCAGCCGGAGGACGAGGAAGTGCAGCCGAAGCAGTACAGCTGGGACCAGCGCGAGAAGGTAGAGCCCCTAAGCGGCTGGTCTCAGTCCTGCTGAGCAGCTCGGCGAGGGTCCCCCGCGGCCAGCAGCGCTAAGGGGGCGGGCCCAGCAGCTGCTGCTCTTGCGCGCGTGCTCTCTCCCGAGAGTTGTTAAAGTCGAAGTGAATGACTTTTGGGGGAGCCGTGAAATTGAATGCTAGAGAAGGCTTCAAGGAGGGCGGTGCAGCTCTGGATGGGGCCCTAGAGCTCATTGTCCAGGCAGTTGGACACTACGGGCTTTGCCTCCTCTCTGCATCCTGCCCTCCGGTCCGAGAATGGACTCCAGAGAAGGAAGGAGAACCTGGAATGCCCCAAATCGCGTCTGCTCATTTCACTTGCAGGGTTTTGTCCAGTCCTCGAGTTACACTTGGGACTGATCTCATCTCTTTTGCGGCTTATGTTCTTTCTGTGGCTGTTTTCTCTTTTGTCTGCCCTAGTCAGTAAATCTCTGGTGCTTCCTGATATATTCCACTGCAGAATTTTCTCAATGACGAAGTGGACCATTTGACATATACAGCCCTGCTTTTCCCTCCTCTTCCAATTACCCAAAAGGAATAATGAAAATCAAATCAGTCTTTGGAATATGTGTTAAGACTGTAAGGTGAAAATAACCAACATAAGCTAGGCAGTATTTTACTGTTGAATGAATGAACATGCCCTTATTTTTACTTTTCTTTATAGCCAGAAACGAAAAACCTTTGAACACGTCCACTACCTTTGAACAGTTTTATAGTCTTACACAAAACATACTTAGTCATAAATTTCATAATGCTTCCTCTTTCTACAGAGTTCTCCATTTATGTTTAGAAAAATACTTTGATAGATCCATTAATTTTTTTCTCTTCCAAACAAAATGATAAAAAGTTTTAAATGAGTGTTATGAACAGTTAATACAACTCCTTGCTTAATAAAACATATCTTTTTCAATGAATGCTTTATAGTAAATGTCTTATTAATGATTTGTTTTCATAGACCATCCTACATGATTTCCAGTCCCCTGCAGAATTTATTCACATAAACTTGGTTCTCCAAGTGTCAGATTTTAAAAATTGGGCGCCTTTTTACAGACTTCTCAGCCCCATCTTTCTGCCCCTGCCTCACAGGGTTGCATAATTAGTTTATTCTATTTTATCCATACTTGATAGCAGCATTTTTTAAATTATATTTATTTATTTTTAATTGACTGATTATTGCTTTACAGTATCAGTTTGCTCTCTGCGATAATCAACACGAACTAGCCATAGGTGTACATATGTCCCCTCGCTCTTGAACCTCCCTCCCACTTCCCACCCTTTCCCACCCTCTCTAGGTCCTTTCAGAGCCCGGGTTTGAGCTCCCTGAGTCATACAGCAAATTTCCATTGGAATAGCCGCATTTTATAACATAGGAGTGGAAAGTACTATACTTTCTGTCTGAAAGCAAGCCCTTTTAAAAATCTTTTATACTGTTAGAGAATTACCAGCTTAACATTTTGAGAGAATGGAGATACCACATTTCCCAACATTGCTTTTTCTTTTTGGAATTTGTTGTTGTTGTTGTTTTTTCATTAATTTTTATTAGTTGGAGGCTAATTACTTTACAATATTGTAGTGGTTTTTGCCATACATTGGCATGAATCAGCCATGGATTTACATGTGTTCCCCATCCCGATTCCCCCTCCCACCTCCCTCCCCATCCCATCCCTCTGGGTCTTCCCAGTGCACCAGCCCTGAGCACTTGGAATTTTTTGTTCTTTTGGAATTACTAAGAATTCATTCTTGGGCACCTCTAATTTATGATGACCTGCTAAGTTTTATATGATTTTAAAGGTTTTTTCCTGCTCCTTAAGTCATGAGCTCTATATGGGTAGTGTGTATGCTCTATATTAATCCAGTGATACTTTTATTGAGTTTAGCATGGTCTTGCTTGCTCCTAGAAGATTTTAATTGTATCTTAAAAGAAACAGGATGTAAATGCAGCCCAGAGAACATGAATGAGATATATTGAAGGTATATTAACAGAATGGTTTGTATTAAAAGTTTAGATCTCTGTAATGTGATCATGAAATATAAACAATTTTAAAGTTACATCAGACAATTACCATTCAACTTGTAAGACTTAGCTGTAAAAACAAAGTGCATTGCCTGAAAAGTTTCCATGCAACTTAGCAAAGTGGTGTTTAGACTTTTCCTTCGGTTGTGTAATCAGTATCCTTATTGAGAGGCACCCTCAGGGGTTTGGATTTTGAGTTGTGTAATTGAGTCGGTCTTAGGGGACTGAAGCTAGAAGAAATTGTCTCAATTAGAAAGAATGTTTGGGGACTTAAGTGTTGTCATGACAACTGATTTACTGTAATCAACAGTGTAAGAAGCTCATTTTTTATTGCTGACTTTGAAAAAGAAAAAAACTTATCGTACAGTTACTACATTGATAAGATGAAAAGTATTTTTGGATTGTAAGATCTGTGTTTAAATCATTTGGAAAGAAATGCTTACATCCTTGTTATCTGTATGCTGCTTCCCATAGCTAGGCAAATTATTCAGTATATGTCCTCAAACACTAAGGAAGACTCACAATGACAAGAATTATTTTCCCTGCCCTTGAAGAGCTAACTGGCATTTTTAGATTAAAACAGGAAATATTTAAGTACAAAGGAAGAATGAGTAGTACAGAAAAAATAGCTTTCATTTTCTAGTTACTTATACCTTTCTCTTCCTAGATGATAGAAATGGTGGCATAGGTATGAAAGTTGTGATTTTGAGCACGGACAATACATATTATATCCGCTCAGTTTTCTCAGCTACAAAATGAAACCTGGTAAAGATTTATCTACTGTTTAGTACGGTAAAGACCTGTCCTGAGGAAGAGAGGTTAGACAGTACTGGCTACCTCTGAGGACAGAACTTGGACAGGCAGAACCAATCTTAACACAAAGCAGATCATAACTCAAGAGTTGTTCACCACCAGAAGGGGTGGCTTTGTGAAGAACCAATCTTCATGTTGGTCAGAAAATTCACATAGAGGTTGGCTGGTGATTTACTGGAAAGAAGTATCTGCATTGAGTATAGGGGGCTGTTTTTGAGTAGATGGTTTTTTTAACCCCTTAAGTACCTAAGGTATTCTGTTATCCATGGTTGCCTACCAAACTACCCCAAAACTTAATGTCACAGAATAATGGCAAGTACTTATTTTGCTCACAACTCTGCAATTTGTGTGGGGCTTAGCCTGGTTGGCTCTCTGCTCTGTGTGTCATCAATCGTGGCAACTTGACTGAGGAGCGGAGGATCTGCTTTCAATATGACTTAATCACAAAGCTGGCTGGCAAGTTGATGCTGGCTTTTGGCTGGAAGCTCAGCTGGGGCTAAGGGCCAGGGGCCTCGTCATGTAGCCTGGGCTTCCCCACAGCATGATGGCTGGGTTCCAAAGGCGAGTGTCCCGAGACTGGCAGAAGCTGCATGGCTTTTTCTAACTGCTCTCTTAAGTGATGTATATAGCATTATTTCTGCCTTTTTTTTTTTGGCCATACCTCGAAGCATGTGCAATTTAGGATCTTAGTTCCCCAACCAGACCAGAGATGGAACCTGTACCCCCTGCCCAGAGTCCTAACCACTGGGCTGCCTGGGAAGTCTCTGCCATATTGTTTACTGAGGCAATCACAGGTGTCACCTACATCCAAAGGGAGGGGTTCTCTTGATGGGATAAATGTCAAACTTGTCAACTTGTTTTAAATCCTTTACATAAAGTTGTTACTTAACGGAAATAACTAGTTCTTTCTTTATACATTTAAAAATAGTTTTATTGAGATATAATTAATAGGCATACAACAAGTTCACAGAGTTCTGTTTCCATCACTGTGATATAATTTTTTAACATTTTCCTCCCTCACAAAAGAAACCCAGATCCATAAGTTGTTATTCCCTACTCCCCCTAGCCCATGGAAACTATAATTTTACTTTCAATCTCTAGAGATTTTGTCTATTTGGGACATTTATCAGTGAAATCATGCAGTATGTGTTCTTTTGTATACTTTCACTTAGCATGTTTTTGAGATTCATCCATATTATAGCATATGTCAATAATTTATTCTTTTTTATTGCTGAATAACCTTAACATAGAGTAGATATTTTATTTCATCTTATTTATAAATAAATTTTATTTATTTTACTATCCATTTTGTTAGACATTGGGCTTGTTTCCACTTTTTGGCCATTACATTCCACTCCTAAGTATATATCCAAGAGAAATAAAAACATAACTTCCACACAGAAGTTTATACACAAATATTCATAACAGCATTGTTTGTAATGGCCAAAAAGTGGAAATAAGCCAAATAACTAGAACAGTACGATCATTTCCCCAAATTTCCTCATGCCCTTTTGTAGTCAACTCTGCCTCTAGTCTCTGATCAGTTTTTTTTTTATTGAAGGATAATTGCTTTAGAGAATTTTGTTGTTTTCTGTCAAACCTCAACATGAATCAGCCATAGGTATACATATATACTCTCCCTTTTGAGCCTCCCTCCCATCTCCCACCCCATCCCACCCCTCTAGATTGATACAGAACCCCTGTTTGAGTTTCCTGAGCCATACAGCAAATTCCCATTGGCTATCTATTTTACATATGGTAATGTAAGTTTCCATGTTACTCTTTCCATACATCTCACCCTCTTCTCCCATCTCCCAATGTCCATAAGTCTATTCTCTATGTCTGTTTCTTCATTGCTCCCCCGCAAGTAAATTCTTCAGTACCATTTTTCTAGATTCCATATATATGTGTTAGAATACGATATTTATCTTTCACTTTCTGACTCACTTCACTCTGTATAATAGGTTCTCGGTTCATCCACCTCATCAGAACTGACTCAAATGTGTTTATTTTTATGGCTGAATAATATTCCATTGTGTATATGTGCCAGAACTTATCCATTCATCTGTTGATGGGCATCTAGGTTCCTTCCATGTTCTAGCTGTTGTAAATAGTGCTGCAGTGAACAATGGGATACAT